CCAACAATTTCGGAGTCTGAGGCAGGAGGATCACTTGAGGTCAGGAGTTTGAGAGGAACCTGGGCAACACAGTAAGACACTGACTCCACAGAAAATTTAAAAATTAACTGGGTGTGGTGGTGAGTGCCTCTAGTCCCAGCTACTCAAGAGGCTGAGGCAGTTGGATCACATGATCCCAGGAGTTCAAGGCTGCAGTGAGCTATGCACTTTAGCATGGGTGACAGAGTGAGACTCGGCTCATTCATTCATTAATAAATAAATGAATAGTTAAAAAAAAAGAGAGAGACAAGGTCTTGCTATGTTGCCTAGGCTAGAGTAAAGTGGCTATTGATCCCACTTCTGATCAGCACCAGAGCTTTGACCTGCTCTGTTTCCACCTCCCACTCCTGGCAGGTCACCACATTGATGCCAAACCTACTGTGGACACCTGAGGACATCCAATGGGTGCAGTGCACTATATAGCTCAGAACTCCTGGCCTAAAGCCATAAAGCCATCTTCCTGCCACAGCCTCCAGAGTAGCTGGGACCCCAGGTGCATGCCACCGTACCCTGCTTATATATTACTTTTTACTGCTACAAATGTACACAGCTCCTTGCTGTTTCTAACTTGCTGAGTAGCAGAGGAATCTACTCTTAAGAAGGTTAGCCAACCTTCTTAAACCAGTTTCTAAAATATAGGTAAATAGGCTCTGAAAACTGAAGAGGCTCCCTGATACGTAGTTTCAGAGTAACTTTTAGAATGTGGACTTTCTGACATCAATTTTTATGCCTGCTCAGAAGTCTTTTAAAAATTGTCTCCCCTTTTCTGCTGGTGTTCCAGGTAGCTGGGGTTATATAACAGGTAAAGCCTGGATGTTTTATTATGAATTAAAGAAACAGAAAAATCCAATATTTTACACCTATCAGTGCAAAATACCAAATGACTTTATAGTCCATTTTAAAATTCTTTCTATAATCTCCTAAGCAGAATTATTAAAACGAGAAACTAACTGAAAAGACTAGAAAGCTACTAGAATAAAGGAATATAACATTCTGTTTCACATAATAGTTTAAAAGAGTCACTATCAATGATTTTCAAGAATTTTATAGCAAGGAGGCAACCACAACATTCAAAATATTGGGACTACACATTATTTTCTTTAAGAAAATTAAAGAAAATAAATTGTATAATTCCAACTAATAAAACACTAAATGGGAATTCTATTACAAAGATCAATGTTGACAGGCACTGAAATATGGTTAGAAAAAGTAGCCTGCACTTCAGAGTAGAACAAACAAATGAAAAACAATGTACATTTTACTTAATTTGTATCCAGAAAAAAACTGTAACTTTTTATATAAAAAGAATCTAAGCAAATATATATATTATCAACGTTTATACTCCAGGGAGTATGAAATACATAAATGTGAACACCAGTCTAGGTGTGTGAATAGACTGGAATTTAGATTTCAATAATAAAAATCTAAGCTTTTGAGTGATCAAAATCCAAAATTTATAAAAAGTGGCAAATGCTAACCTAGCTATGATAGTTGTTTCTGCAGCCTAGGTACTCATTAACATTGTGCTCAGTGATCTCTACACAGGGAAACATTAATATATGATCAGACAGGGAGAGAGGACAACAGCAAAATGGAAACAAATGCAGAGGATTTATATTCCAGTAGATCAACTGGGGTTTACATCCCTGCTTTGCCTCATTTTCTCATATTTGAAATGAGAATAACATACATCTTCTTTATTATGTTTCTGTCGGGCATTTGTGATAATGCATTGAAATAACTGACAGATAGCAAGTATTCCACAAATGCTACTATTGGAATAAGGAAGGAGACCTAGATCAAGAAAAGACTGATTTTAAATTCCCTATCATTTTTCCCTTTCAGTCTTATCTTTCTCTCTGGGTACAGAGATCTTTTCTCCTTTATCCAAAGGCATACTGACATTAAATGTGATAGAATAATGAAAAGGACAAAAATGTTTGTTGATTCTATCTATGATATGTAAATGACCCTGCAGCATTAGGACAACAAATTAAAGCCAATTGGCTAAACAATCAACTTTTTTAACATACCAAGTAAAAAAGAGTTAAATTGGAATACAATAAGAAAGCAGCAGATACACATATACATATTCATGATTTTCTTTTCTACAGAAAAGAAAACCAAATGTTTATAGGAAGGAGATACTATGGGATAAAAGGATTTCTCTTCAGCACTGTCTTTCCCATTAAGAAGTTCTAAATTTGTCTTTTTATACATAATATGATTTAGAGTTAACTCCAATTAGATGAATGAGTTCAATGTTTTTTCTACCCATTAAAGTGTGATAAATAGGAATAGCCTAAATACAAGAAAAATTTAAATCATGACCTCCAAAAATAAAGTTAAAAACACTTTCACTGTATCAAATGTCTATTATTTTTTATCCCATTTCCTAAACTAATTGTAATGACTGAATTTATTAGCCGACCAACACATAAAAAACAATTCTGATGCGTCACTGTACCTTAAAACAAGAGCCTACATACATATATACATAAAAAAAATATAGGCCAGGCACAGTGGCTCACGCCTGTAATCCTAGCACTCTGGGAGGCCGAGGTGGGCGGATTGTTTGAGCTCA